GTCCCAATACTGACCCCTGGGCAACCCCAGTCGTCACTACTCTCCACTTGGACATCAAGCCGTTGACTGCAACTCTTTGAGCGCGACCATCCAGCCAATTCCTTATCCACCAATTGGTCCATCCATCCATCTCCAATTTAGAGACAAGGATGTCATGCAAGACAGTGTCAAATGCTTTCTAAACCTTCGATCATACTCCTCTACCAGCATCCCAGATGGATGAAAACAGCACGTATGCAAACCTTAGCACCCATAATAAAATCAGGAAGTTATTATTTTTTCCAGTGAATCACTTCCCACATGCAGCCTGTGGAAATGGTGTGTCCAGAAACAGTTTCTGAATGTCCACAAATACATTCTCTGCTTTTCCTAAGGACACATGCCAGGCCTCTCCGGATACATCAGGCAAAGAAAATAGGTGGCAAAAACTCCCTCTAGATCATTTCTCCTCAGGTGGTGAAAAAACTTCCTCCTCTTAGAAACTCATTCAATTTGATGAAACTAGTGGTCTTGACCAGCACAGGTACCCTCATTTTGGTGGGGGTTTTTTTTCAGTTTCATCTGTGGTTTCCAGAACAGGGAGCCTGCCAGCCCCTCTTTGAGTTTCTGTGCCAGGGAAAGTTGAAGAGTATAAATATCCCAGAAGAGAGGGCTCCCTCAGCTCTGCTCCGAACTCTGTCAAAAGCTGTATTACCTCCTTGACAAAATCTTCCTCTTCTGCCAGGGTGCCCCATTCCATCTCCTCCTCCAAGGAATATCGTGCCCTGGTGAGATCTAAGACTTGGCTCATTTTTAACTCACTTTATGCCCTGCTTTTACTACAGGTTTTATATTTTCAGGTTTGTTTTTATACATCACAGACTCCTTGGGTAGTTTCTTGCAGTGTGTTCTGTATCACACTCCAGTCACGAGCTGGACTCTTCTCAGGGATTTAAGTAAACCCAAAATGCAAAACTGGCCCTTCAGCTACAAGCTAGTCATAAACTCTATGGGTCTGTTATCTTCTTTTGCATTCTCTGTTTAAAAACATAGCATTCCCATAATTCGTTTTTTTTTTTATGGAGTGCAGAATAACACAGCTTGTTAGAGACTTTAAGTGCTTCAGAACCAGCTTCTTCAGAAGTAAGGTCAGCTTTCCTTTTCTTGCAGGGTTCTGTTTCTCATGCATGTACAATTAAGCACACTTGTCCGTGTTTTCAGGGAATGCCCTCTTTCCTATGGCTTCTACCTGGTTCCATCTCTACTCCTTAGCTTAATTTATTCCTGATATTCTAGACAAAAGATCCTGGTAGGATGCAAAAACTCCTTATGGTGCCTTGCCTTCAGCCTTCTGTGAATGAGATTCTTTTTCTGAAAAAGTCCAGATCAAGATAGGCCTGAAGCTGCCAGCTTTTGCAGTTACCTCCCCAAAAGTTGAAATGGTGCCTGTGTAACATCTTCGCCCAACTTTTGCAGCTGTGCCTTTGTCTGCCCTGCCTTCCCATCTCTGTTGCAGTGTGAACAAAGCCCACACAAATACACAAAGTCAAAGTCAAGAAGGTTATAGATTAAAAAAAAAAAAAAAAAAAAGGGAGCTCACTACAATCTTTACCAGCTGGCTAGCAAAAATAGGCAGGTTCTCATCAGAATCTTCTTCAGAATCCAGTCTGTTGGACTACAGTAAAATGGTTGCTTCCTCAGAAATATGACAAATCCAAAAAATAAACTGTCAGCTAAAGTTTTTTTATCTTTTTGATGGAAGTACCATGTTGCTTTAGTCTCCTCAGATTTTTACTCTCTGTTAGGGCTGCCAGTTGTGTCACAATCATATTTCTTTTGAGATGACCAAAGCTGACTCCTATTGCTGAAGAAGAAACAAACAAAACTTCACACACTGCATGCCGTTATGTTTCATTATAATGCAGTGATAGATTCAAAATAACTCTGAGTGATGTACACAGAAACTCCAGACTTGA